CTGGATTGTGTTCATATGTCTACAATATAGTTCTTCGGAATCTGATTATGTGATCCAGAATTTGTCCTTGTCAATTCTCCCCAGAATATGTCCTTGATTTTTGCCTATGTCTATTGATTTTGTCAATTATCACCAGAATATGTCCTTGTCTCTGGATTGTGCCCATATCAATATGCCCCTGAACTCTGCCTAAGTCTCTGGACCCAGTGACCACTATCAATCTTCAGATATTCAGATATTAGACTGAAAGTGCGGTTACTCTTTGCCTTCCGGTTTTGACTCCCGTTTTTGTTTGGTCATAATCACTGAGTTGGTGTATATTTTACCTTATTTTTTATCTTCAGTTTTTTTCTAAGTTACCGGACTTCATTCTATTATATTAGATGATATTAGATACTAATAGATAGATGGTGCTGACTGTGTCTCTGGATCATTGCTCATGTCTATTGATTTTGTCAATGTCCCCAGAATATGTCCTTGTCTCTGGACTGTGCCCATATCAATTTGCCACTGAACTCTGCTCCAAGCTTCAGTCTCTGGATTATTGCCCATGTCTATTGATTTTGTCAATGTCCCCAGAATGTGTCCTTGTCTCTGGATTGTGCCCATATCAATATGCCCTTGAACACTGCCTAAGTCCAGAGCTGTCAAGTGTCCCGCGAATGGCGGGATTATCCCGCGAATTTGATCAAAATTAGGCTAATTCGCGTGTCCCGCAATGTCCCGCGAAGTCCCGCAAATGTGGCTTTGACCTCCGCGAATTTTCGAAATTGTTGCAATCCCCTATATTGTGATTATCTTATCTTTTATAAGAAGCTAAGTTTTTGCACTTTTGAGGAGTAAAGTTTACCTAATTTTAAGTACCTAGCATGCTGTTGTTTGGTATCAAAATAAAAAGGAAAGGTTCAACTTTCATTTTAATTACGAAAATAGGGATGTAGGTCACAAATAGTTCCAACGTTGGCCTTTTTACTACCCGTGTGGCCTTCATCTCAGAACTGAGCAAATATTAGCAAACGCGAGTTACAATAAATGGACGCTGATATCTAGAAAGGGTTTGTAGAAAAACACGGGTACCGGGTAGTAAATCCTCCATGCTGGGTTCAAACTTGGTACCCGGTACCCGGTCAAAAAAACGGGAACCCAAAAAACGAAAAATACGAATATATAACATAATAGATTATATGACGTGCACGGACCTGGGGACAATTCGGGAAATACGGGCTAATCTCAGCTCCAAGCGTTAATATCTGCCTTATTTAAAAAGCTAACTATGTGCATTATATATCAATTTGAAGTATTTTTTATTCGCATTTCACTGAAATCATTTTTCCTTGAAAAGTTTGATGAGATCTACCATATTTTTAAAGTTAAATGTACTCCGACATCGTCAAATACGCTGTAAGACGTAACATTCCATGCTTACACGGTTCGTTGAATTCGGGATAACTTTTGAAATACTGATCAGAATTTTACTAAAATTTCACATTTTATTCATTGAAACATGTGCTTTTATGACGTCACAATTGCCTAGCGGCTACAGTTCAAATCGTCTTATATGAACGCTTTTAAAGTTTTCAAAATTGTGTAAGGTTTTGAAGGCGAAGGAGACAAGCAATAAGTTTACCTTTATTTAACCTTCTAATTTAGGTCTGATTTCAAAAAAAATTTAACTGCACAATATTGTCATGGGGAAATTTACAAAACAATAACCGATTTCTTTATTCTTCAAATAATAAGAAAATAAGAGTTGTTTTTAGAGACTTGAAAAAATGTAACGCATCGATTTTTTACCACAAATCTCATACATATCAATTTTTGCTAACGCCCTGATTGGATTTCCTGACCGTTTTTCAAAAATCAAAAACATTTTAGAAATATTGTCCTCGAGATCTTGTTGCTCTGTGAATTTTACCAGGATTGAATAAGAAGAAAGCATCTTATTTCTAGGTTGACTAAAATTGACAAAATGTAACGCTTGTCGTTTTTGACGTTATAATGCTGATTGCGCCCTATACTGCCCATTGTATTGTTTTGTATTTTGACGCCATAATGTTACTCTAATTGTCCCCAGTTTCGTGCGACGTGTATTATGAGAAAACGTGTAAGATTTGTTTTGAATTTACAAAAATGTATGTAACATCCTTCAAAATTGAGCTAGAAGCTTCAAATAAAAAGCATATTTTAAGGCTCTTTTCTTCCTCTATCGTCGTGGCCATATTTTCATTGGTTATGGGGGGGGATGCGATCGCACCATCGCACCCTCTCCTGGCTACGCCTATGACATTGTAAGACATAACAATTTACAATTCAGTGGACATTTTGTCGAAAATTGGGATAACTTAAATTATGATTAATAATCAAAATCTTACACGTTGCATCATTTAAATTCACACACGTCACCTCTCTGCTAAAGCAACGATAGCTATTTACAGGTTTAAATCATAATCAAAACAATTCATGTACCAACATACGAAGTATTGAAAATAGAGTAAGATTGATTTGTCTTGTTTTTCAAATCGTCTTACAATGTCATTGGCGTAGCCAGGAGGGGGTGCGATCGCACCCCCCCCCCCCCCCCCCTTCATTACCAATGGAAATATGACCATGATGATAGAGGAAGAAAAGAGCCTTAAAATGCTTTTTATTTGAAGCTTCTAGCTCAATTTTGAAGGAAGTAACACACATTTCTATAATTCAAAACAAATCTTACACGTTTTCTAATGATCTAATTATGTTGTATATTATATTTCGTTTTTTGGGTACCCGTTTTTTTCGACCGGGTACCAAGTTTGAACCCATCATGGAGGATTTACTACCCAGTACCCGGTTTTTTCTACAAACCCTATCTAGAAAAGTAACCTCATTTCCTATAATTTGATGTAGATTAATCGAACCTCTATATCATGGGCTTTCAATTGAAAGCCCATGCCTACAGTATATGAATAGGTACATTTTAATATATATATAACATTATGGGGGTAAGCGTTTCATAGTTGGTCACGATGCCAGAAGTGCAAAGTATTGTTCCGAATTTTTGAATTTCGTGTTAGATTACGGTACTCACACCTGAAGCATGGTTTTTGTTTTTGATAAATTACAATGAAGTATAATAATATTCCTATGCGTATTTTGTGAAATTGTGTTGACGTTTATTTAAGTTACAATGTAACGGTGCATTATATTTGATTAATCAGTATCTGAAAGTTTGATTTAAGTACTTTTACACGCTTTTACATTAGTCCCAATCACGCAAATCCCTTGAATGTCCCGGGACATCCTGCAAATTTAGGTGGATGTCCCGCGAAATCCCGCAAATTTAGGGCACTTTGTCTAAAAAATCTGTTCCTCTATGAAGTTTTTGGTGGTACCCCTGTTAACTGTCCCGCAATTAGGGTATTTGTCCCTCGAATGGTCCCGCGAATTTGATAAAAAAAATTGGCCTATTAGCACAATCACGCAAATCCCTTAAATGTCCCGCGAAATCCCGCGAATTTAGTAGATGTCCCGCAAAATCCTGCAAATTTTGGGCACTTGGTCTAAAAAATCTGTCCCGCGAGAAAATCTTTAGGGGTTGACAGTACTGTAAGTCTCTGGATCATTGCCTATTGATTTTGTCATAGTCCCCAGAATGTGTCCTTGTCTCTGGATTGTGTCCATATCAATATGCCCCTGCTGTGCCTAAGTCTCTGGACCCAGTGACCACTATCAATCTTTAGATATTCAGATATTAGACTGAAAGTGCGGTTACTCTTTGACTTCCGGTTTTGACTCCCGTTTTTGTTTGGTCATAATCACTGAGTTGGTGTATATTTTACCTTATTTTTTATCTTCAGTTGAGTCTCAATACTCTGAGCATTATTTTGAGCATTATTTTGATATTTAGAATTTTATTTTTTCTAAGTTACCGGACTTCATTCTATTATATTAGATGATATTAGATACTAATAGATAGATGGTGTTGACTGTGTCTTGGATCATTGCCCATGTCTATTGATTTTGTCAATGTCCCCAGAATATGTCCTTGTCTCTGGATTGCGCCCATATCAATATGCCCCTGAACTCTGCTCCAAGTCTCTGGATCATTGCTCATGTCTATTGATTTTGTCAATGTCCCCAGAATCTGTCCTTGTCTCTGGATTGTGCCCATATCAATTCTCTGCTCCAAGTCTCTTGATCATTGCACTTGTCTATTGATTTTGTCAATGTCCCCAGAATCTGCCCTTGTCTCTGGATTGTGCCCATATCCATATGCCCCTGAACTCTGCTCCAAGTCTCTTGATCATTGCCCTTGTCTATTGATTTTGTCAATGTCCCCAGAATCTGCCCTTGTCTCTGGACTGTGCCCATATCAATATGCCCCTGAACTCTGCTACAAGCTTCAGTCCCTAGATCATTGCCCATGTCAATTGATTTTGTCAATGTCCCCAGAATGTGTCCTTGTCTCTGGATTGTGCCCATATCAATATGCCCCTGAACTGTGCCTAAGTCTCTGGATCATTGGCCCACGTCTATTGATTTTGTGAATGTCACAAGAATATGTCCTTGTCTCTGGATTGCGCCCATATCAATATGATCATTGCCCATGTCTATTGATTTTGTCAATGTCCCCAGAATACGTCCTTGTCTCTGGATTGTGCCCATATCAATTTGCCCCTGAACTCTGCTCCAAGTCTCTGGATCATTGCCCATGTCTATTAATTTTGTCAATGTCACCAGAATATGTCGTTGTCTCTGGATTGTGCCCACATCAATTTGCCCCTGAACTCTGCTCCAAGTCTCTGGATCATTGCCCATGTCCAGTATTGATTTTGTCAATGTCCCCAGAATATATCTTTGTCTCTGGATTGTGCCCATATCAATATGACCCTGAAATCTGCCCCAAGTCTCTGGATCATGCCCATCTCTTTTGATTTTGTCAATGTCACTGTATTGAGTTTACTTCCCTGGATGTGAATTTTTCATCCTCTACGTGCACAATTTTGTGATATATGGAAGGTAGCCCTAAGCCATCAACCAACATGGTTTTAAAGATTTTGACAACTTTACGAAATAACCCCAAAAAGTCAATATTCTTTGCAGCAGTTGCAGCATATGGTGTTAAATATCTAAAAGGAAAGTACGAGTAAGTATCTGAATTAAGTATCATCGGTTCGGACGTATAGATTGTCAGATGTAAGAAGATAAAAACTACGATTTTACATTTTCACCTATTATCGCCCATGCATTTTACTCAGTAATCAACAATTTTAAATAAACATATCGGTATATTATCAGTAATCTCAGAATAGGAAATGTATAATCGAAATGAAAAGCAGTGTCAATCCCTGTTATCTCTGGATTTGAAATATTTTGATACAAATAATCACACATATTTTACACTTGAAGGAATTGTAAGTTGTCACTCATTTCAGAGTGACTGAATTCCCTTCAAAATATCCCTGCTCATCACCCTAATTTCCTGATTTTGAGAGAATATGCTTTTGAGTAACAATAAAAGGTCAGTGAGGCTACTACAGAACTCCATTCGTCCATCCAAGAAGTCCATCCGAGTGACATTCTACATTTCCTTGAATCTAAGCAAATTGTCAAGAGTATTTTATCTTGATTTGCTTTCATATTGTGATCATAAGCATTTTTTGGTTGGCCATTTCTGCTGCTGACAATTCAAGAACATTGTACTAAGCTAGATTAAAAAAGTCTTTACATGAACACGGCCATAAATATATATATCTTGATAGTGTAGAATGTTTATTGGTATAAATTATTTCTTTATAATTTTGAATATTTTCCGAGGAACAGAATGTTTATTGGTTTAATTTATTTCTTCATAATTTTGAATATTTTCAGTGATAACCTGACAAGAACAGAATGTTTATTGGTTAATTTATTCCTTCATAATTTTGAATATTTTCATTGATAAACTGATGTGAACAGAATGTTTATTGGTTTAAATTATTTCTTCATAATTTTGAATATTTTCAGTGATAACCTGACGAGAACAGAATGTTTATTGGTTTAAATTATTTCTTCATAATTTTGAATATTTTCAGTGATAACCTGACGAGAACAGAATGTTTATTGGTTTATATTATTTTTTCATTATTTTGAATATTTTCAGTGATAACCTGACGAGAACAGAATGTTTATTGGTTTAAATTATTTCTTCATAATTTTGAATATTTTCAGTGATAACCTGACGAGAACAGAATGTTTATTGGTTTATATTATTTTTTCATTATTTTGAATATTTTCAGTGATAACCTGACAAGAACAGAATGTTTATTGGTTTAATTTATTCCTTCATAATTTTGAATATTTTCATTGATGAACTGATGTGAACAGAATGTTTATAGGTTAAAATTATTCCTTCATAATTTTGAATATTTTCAGTGATAACCAGACGCGAACAGCTTACTGCTTGGAAGCAAAGGTAGGACTTTTTTATTGTTTTTTATTTAATCATGTAGTATAATTATCTAGTGTTACATTAACACACTAGATACCCATGGGGGGGGGTTTATATCAGTGCATTATCAAAAATTTGAAAAACCATTAATTGTCTTTTACTGATTAAAATTTTTTCTGCAGATTCAGAAATGTTTATTGCTTCCTAATTTGAGTCCCACATTATTTTCATTTACATAAAACTAGATGTACTCTTTGTGCAACTAAAAATCATCCCCTTATTTCCACATTGTTACAATTGCATTTTAGCTGATATTGAGATATCAGAAAATCAATATAACTACCCTTAAGAAAAAAGCCATGGTAACCATGGTATTCCATGGTACGTCCATGGTAATCCATGGTTTTCCATGGAAATTCATGGTTTTTCATGGCATTTTCCATGGAAATTCATGGACACCCATGGTAATCTTCCATGGATATTTATCATGATTATCCATGGTAATTAGTGGTTTGGTAATTGTTTTTTCATGGACGTGTCATGGTTTTTACCAGGACACACAGAGATCCAAGTTGGACTGAGACTTATCTGTGAGAAGAAAGGGTGGACATTTCATGTTATTTTAGGTTTAGCAGGAACATATTAAACTCAGCTTAAACTCAGGTTCCTTACAAATATGTAAAAATTATGTAACTTTTCTAAAAAGAAATATGATAATGTAGTTATTGCAGCACGGAGTAGGCCACAAGATTTCAAAGAGAAATATGTATAGGGCTTTTGTGTAGATCAAGACTAGATACAGAGACAGAGATTCCTTATTTTTTAGGCCAAAGAAAAGATTAAGTCAAACTAGCCCTACCTCTGTTTTGTCTTCTTATTGTTTCTTTAATATTCAGTTATGAAAATTAAAATTAAATAATTTCAAAAATAAATAACTCTTTTCCTTAAATTACATTCTTACATTTTAGAATGCAATAAAAAAAACATGGTTTCTTTCTTTGAAGTTGAGGAAACTGCAATCAAAAGCCATGGAAGCCGGTTGATTGCAATCAAAAGCCATGCTTTTCCATGGATATTTCTTTGATGTTTTGGAAAGTGCAATCAAAAGCCATGCTTTTCCATGGATATTTCTTTGATGTTTTGGAAAGTGCAATCAAAAGCCATGGTTTTCCATGGTTATTCTTTTGATCTTTTGAAAAATCCATGGTTTTCCATGACTATTTGTTTGGTCTTTTTGGATGCAGAAAAAAGAATAATGCATAATGAACATTGAACTTTTCCAAATAAAGTCTCATTTAACCTTTATGAGCACATTGTCTGAAAAATCCATGTACTTTTTAGAATTTCGACTTGAAATTAAGGTAGGGGATTAAACACAAGCCTATGACTGCCAACTGAAATGTAATGCCTAATGCCGTGGTCACATTTGCTCCGATTTTTACTACGGCGCCCGGCCGATTGAGTATTGTGTTCAAAGTTGTATTCAATTTTGAACACAATACTCAATCGGCTGGGCGCCGGCGCTGAAAATCGGAGCATACGTGACCAACGCATAAGTGATCAAAAATCTATTTGTCTATGTACTAAAGTTACTATAATTATGTAATCTATTTAAAAAGAAGTCATAATCATGCATAATCTTTAAATATTTGGTTGTCATTGTTTTATGTTAATTAGATTTCTTAACTCTCAAATTAGTGTTAAAATTTCTCTTTGCAACAGATTATATAGTTCATTTGCATAATTCTAAAATACATGTATTATGATCTTAATTGTTATTATTTATGACGAGTGCTTCCTCTTTAGTAATTTTAATTGTCTGTGAGTGTAGACAGTGCAAGTCAAAAACTCATTGTTGATCAAATAAAACAAAATAGGATTAAAAACTCCAAGTAAACATGTCTAGATTATGAAAATATCTTTATCATAGAACTAAACATATATCTAGATTATGAAAATAAGGTGCATGGTTGTATTTCAGGCCTGTAGCAAGCTTCCGCAAGGGGGTTGACTTTCTCAAAAAATTGACGGGGACATTATATTCTTCTCTCTATGATTAGTCTCAATCCAGCTTGGATTCATTCATTTAAACATTGATTCAATTTGGAAGATTTTGGTAAATACAAAAACTGCCAAAATTGTTGATTTTACAACTCCAAGTCACTTAGTATCATGGTAAAAACATGGCATTCATGGAAGATCATGGTAAATATTCATGGAAGATTACCATGGACGTCCATGAAATTACATGGAAAATACCATGAAAAACCATGAATTTCCATGGAAAACCATTGATAACCATGGAATATCATGGCTACCATGGCTTTTTTCTTAAGGGTACATGTATACACATTGCCCAATTTCCAAGGTTTGTTTTTGATCTATTATTAAACAGGTTAGCGAGTATGATTTCACCCAAGTTACATGTACATTGAGTTACATCCATGTTTACCTTATTTCAGCAATATGGTGAGCAGTTGAATGGTCCTGCAGGGAGACCCAGGAAGGTGACAGTCTTTCTCAACCCAGTGGCAAATGACAGGTATTATTATGGCTGACTATTATCATGGCAAATGACAGGTATTATTATGGCTGACTATTATCATGGCAAATGACAGGTATTATTATGGCTGACTCTTATCATGGCCAATGACTGGTATTATTATGGCTGACTATTATCATGGCCAATGACAGGTATTATTATGGCTAACTCTTATCATGGCCAATGACAGGTATTATTATGGCTGACTATTATCATGGCAAATGACAGGTATTATTATGGCTGACTCTTATCATGGCCAATGACAGGTATTATTATGGCTGACTATTATCATGGCAAATGACAGGTATTATTATGGCAGACTATTATCATGGCCAATGACAGGTATTATTATGGCTGACTATTATCATGGCCAATGACAGGTATTATTATGGCTGACTATTATCATGGCCAATGACAGGTCAAATGACAGGTATTATTATGGCTGACTCTTATCATGGCCAATGACAGGTATTATTATGGCTGACTATTATCATGGCCAATGACAGGTCAAATGACAGGTATTATTATGGCTGACTCTTATCATGGCCAATGACAGGTATTATTATGGCTGACTATTATCATGGCAAATGACAGGTATTATTATGGCAGACTATTATCATGGCCAATGACAGGTATTATTATGGCTGACTATTATCATGGCCAATGACAGGTATTATTATGGCTGACTATTATCATGGCCAATGACAGGTCAAATGACAGGTATTATTATGGCTGACTCTTATCATGGCCAATGACAGGTATTATTATGGCTGACTATTATCATGGCCAATGACAGGTCAAATGACAGGTATAATTATGGCTGACTCTTATCATGGCCAATGACAGGTATTATTATGGCTGACTATTATCATGGCCAATGACAGGTATTATTATGGCTGACTATTATCATGGCCAATGACAGGTATTATTATGGCTGACTATTATCATGGCCAATGACAGGTATTATTATGGCTGACTCTTATCATGGCCAATGACAGGTATTATTATGGCTGACTATTATGATGTCCAATGAAAGGTATTATTATGGCTGACTATTATCATGGCAAATGACAGGTATTATTATGGCAGACTATTATCATGGCCAATGACAGGTATTATTATGGCTGACTATTATCATGGCCAATGACAGGTATTATTATGGCTGACTATTATCATGGCAAATGACAGGTATTATTATGGCTGACTCTTATCATGGTCAATGACAGGTATTATTATGGCTGACTATTATCATGGCCAATGACAGGTATTATTATGGCTGACTATTATCATGGCCAATGACAGGTATTATTATGGCTGACTCTTATCATGGCCAATGACAGGTATTATTATGGCTGACTATTATGATGGCCAATGAAAGGTATTATTATGGCTGACTATTATCATGGCAAATGATAGGTATTATTATTGCTGACTATTATCATGGCCAATGACATGTATTATTATGGCTGACTCTTATCATGGCCAATGAAAGGTATTATTATGGCTGACTATTATCATGGCCAATGACATGTTCATGTTTTATCATGGCCACTAATAGGTAATATAATGGGTTTAATATCATGGCCAATGACATGTACATGTGTTATCATGGCCAATAATAGGTAATGTGTCTTTATTATCATGACCAATGTCATGTGTATGTGTTATCATGGCCAATAACAGGTAATATAATGGGTTAATTATCATGGCCAATGACATGTACATGTGTTATCAAGGTCAATGACAGGTAAAATCATGGTTCTCACTAGAAATATTATAGAACCTGGAGAACCTTCATGCAATGGTTTATAGAGGGTGTTTATTACATCTATTTTAATAATCAATTGGTTGAATAAAGGCCACAAAAGGGGAAACTAGTCCCTGAGAACAATCATTTTTTTATATGTGTCACATCTGAGTTTAACAAATATCGCTAAACTTCCTATTTTATATGTGTCTTGCAAGGTTCACATTCTAATACTGACAGGCAATACACAATTGTGTGGACTACAGGCTGTCCAGTATTAAAGTTACAAATGTTCTTATTATTTTAAGATTTATTTGATAAAATTGCTACAGATTGTAGAAAGACATGAGGCCTATAACACTAAATCACACAATTATCATGACATATAGGTTCACAATGATGGAGTTACTTCTTTTCTTTTTATTATCTCTCTAGGGATGGCAAGAGTGCATTTGAGAAAGATGCTGTGCCTCTGCTGCATTTGGCTGGCCTTGAGGTCAATATTATCAGGGTAAGATAGGGGGAAATTTAATATAGGACTGGCAAACATATATATGGAGTCAAAGTCTCATTTATAATGAGATTTGCAAAGCACTGGGGATTATAAAACATTTTTCTTAAATAAACTTTTTAATCCAAGTGTGTAAAGGTACATTGTTAAGAACAATTATGAGTGCAATGCTCCCAAACCTACCAATCCTAACCAGAGTTTAAAAAGTATAATTTATTAAAACTGCAGTGAAAAATCGATTTACCCAAGATACAATCTAAAATTGATTGTATTGCCATGCAATGTGATACAATTTCGATGTATATATGGATATTACACATTGCAGACAGAGTCTGTAGGTCAGGCCAAGAAGTACATGGGAGTCATAGAGACGGAGGACACAGATGCTATCATTGTAGCTGGAGGTGATGGAACTGTCTCTGAAATAGTTACTGGGCTGTTACGTCGAGAAAATCAGGTAAGATCATGAATCATGTCAAGATAGGGCCAGGGACCATATATTATATTTGTAGTAGGATATTGTAAAGAAAGTGCCAGTAAGGATCATGTTTTACATTAATAGTACAATAACGTCATTTCAAAGTGCAATATAGTGAAATATTGGACCAAGGTCCAATATTTCACTATTTTGCCCGCAGAAATGACATTATTACTATTATTATCACCGTTAATGCCCAGGGCTGAAATAGCAAATTTGAAATAGAAAATCTTACACACTGAACGATATCACTTTTCCCGGGAAACATAGCCGGGCAGATAATGTCATTATTGCCCGACTAAAGTCATTAACGCCCGACACAATATTGCTCACGTCAATATAGCAATTTAGATGCCTTCTCAACTAGTACTAAAACCCCTAGAACAGGCCCTGCAAGGTGGTAATAATAGGACATAGTAACTAAAGTGCCTAGTATAGAGATTATATATTATATTGGTTATTTTTGTGGCACATTGTAAAGAACATATCTATAATGGAATGGATACCGGTGATTATACATTATATTTGTAGGAGTTTTTATTAGAAAGTATGTAGGACATTGTAAAGAAAATGCCAATAGGGATCAAAAATTATATTTGTGGGACATTGTAAAGAAAATGCCAATAGGGATCAAAAATTATATTTGTAGGACATTGTAAAGAAAGTGCCAATAGGGATCATACCAATAGGAAAAAGCAACAGTCTGGCTAAGTTGATTTTTACAGACAATCAGGACAAAGTCAAGTAAGAAAACAGAAATTAATTTTTAATTAATTTATTAATTTAATTTTTATTAATTTATTTGATTGTTTAGGATGCAACTACATGTATACACTAAAACAAAAGACTGCTAAGTTTGGGCATTAAGTTTTATTTTTTGTTCATTTTGAAAAACTCCGAGCTTGGCCCATGTGTCCTAATTTTATAAATGTCACAGAAGTACACAACATTTGATTTGCCCTTAAAATAGTAAAATGACCAGGTCTGAACATGGTTATTTATTTATGTATACTTTTAATGATTTTTAAGTTGTTATCTACATTTACAACATTTGGTGTATGCTTTCAGGTGGTTATGTGAGACAGCTCTTGCAATAATAAAAGGTGTCACCAAACCTGTAGATGTTCTGCGTATTGAGGTATGTAACCCCTTATATAATACAGGGGGAGGGTGGCCGATAGATGCAACTGGGGAAGATAAGTAAATAATGCAACTATAGTTCGAGATAAATTTGTGTTTTTTACAGGGGGAGGGAAACCAAAAAATGCAATTGTGTACTTATACTTTATATTTTTATAGGAGGAGGGTAACTTAATAATACAACTGTCAGGTCCTAGATAAATTTATGTCATTTTTACAGGAGGAGGGAAACCCAATGATTCAACTGTGTAGTTACATGTAAATACAATTTTATATTTTACAGGGGGAGGGTAACTTAAAAGTACATCTGTCAGGTTCTAGATAAATTTATGTTATTTTTTACAGGGGGAGGGAAACCCACTGATGCAACTGTGTACTTATTCTTTCTATTTTACAGTGGGAGGGTAAGCAAATAATGCAACTGTTGTCGTAGTCAAATTTGTGTTATTTTTTTACAGGGGGAGGGTGACCGAATGGTGTATGCTGTTGCTGGTATGGAATGGAGTCCTTATAGACATGCTGAAGTAAGAGCCAAAAAGTAAGTAAGTTTAGATAATCTTTGTGTAAATTAGTGGGAATAACCACCCAACATCATAATATCCATGTACATTTCTCATTTAATCATGTCTCTACTTATTCCTTTTTCAAAAAAATGCATCTAAAGAATTGGATTAGCAGATGAAATAGAGGTATAAAGACATGTTGTCAATTTGATATATAATGCAGATCTCCTAAAATATCATTAAAAAATGAGACTTTAATGAGATTTCAAAGCTATATGGAAAAAGGACCAATGGAGGGGAAGGGGGTGTTAGACACTATTTCTTTTTACATAAAAGTATGGCCTTGTGATATATACAGGGTCTATTTTCCTTATGACAGGTTTACACTTACATGTAGAGTTTTTTTTTAGTTTCTTTACACTTTTTGGTCATCTGTCTTTTGCACTTGTGCTTAGATATTGATATTGTATAGAAATGACAACAAGTCAGACAGTTATTTCAAATATGAGGGGAAAGGGATTGGATTCCTGGAAGTGCATTGAACATAGTGAGCATAGGTAGCTCTACGTTCCATGAGTTTATTTGAAGATGATGATATTTTATGTAATCACCAAGATGTGGTGACAGTTATTGGCAAAATATTAAGAAAATGATGACATATTTGTAATCACTGGAGTAACAATATTTTTTTGATAGTGATATTTTTTTTTCGGAAATTAATTCAGTAAAACCTGTATAAGTGGAATATCTTTGGAACCTCTTAAAAAGGGGTCAGTTTGGTACGTGTTCCACTTATAGAGGATCATTTAACATGTTTCGGTCGGTTGGTAGAGTCTGAAAAGCAATGGCATAGCTTATTTATATGCATAAAACGCCATGGCATACAGTAGTCTCAAATTTAGAGAAAAGTAGATTTTTTGACACACACTTTAAAAATGAATAAAAATGACCAATGATTTACATTTTCTTAGTCCATGGAATTTTGTATTTTAAAACGCCATAGAATGCTTCAAATGCAATCTCATTTTCAATTTTTCCAAACCCGCTCAAAGCTCAAAACAAAATACTCACGCTACGCTACACTACTGAAATGTTCCCCCAACAGATTATTAAACTCTTAAACATTAGGTTTAATACAGTGCAGTATGAGAAGTTCAACACAATGTGGATTTCTATCATCCAACTCATATTTTGAGGGAAATCTCAATTCATTTCCTTTATCAAAGAGAGACTGATATTTGTTCATTTCAACTTCATTAACAATAGTGACCATATCAGCAAAGAAGTCATCTTGCAGGGCAGTTGGAATCATACGATGAAACTTGTAGAATAGGTCAAATATTCCTTTTATGAATGAACTATCAATTTTCAGAAAACTCCAAGATTGAACAGGTTTACATAATTTTACTTGAAATCCTATTTTTTCTAGCATTTTTGGAAATGCCTGCTCATCACACCAGACCATTTTCTTAATGTTTTCATTGGATTTGGCAATGTTTATGGACCTCGTTTCATCTTCAAAGTATTTCTTCCATTTTTCTGATTCCATCAATGTGAGAGTTGCAGCTTGGAAGCCATCATTGCGTAGAAAGTATGATGCACCAAGTTCACCCCCTGGCTTAAGACTGTTGAAAACCTTCTTCAATACATTTTTCTGTTCTCCTATCATGTTCAAACATTCATTGGAGAATACCTAAAATGAAAAATCCATCATTATATATGCACTGGATCTACTTTATGTGTAATTAATATGTTCCTCAAAACTTGCGATGGTTAAAACGTTACAAATGAGGAATTTATTCAAAAATATTTGATCGAGTTGGCTAAATAATTGTCAGAGAATTTTTTGAGGAATCTTGATTTCATATTTGATCTGATCAAATGGCTATCATGGATGATCATTTTTCCTTACAACCAAAATTGATTACCTTGTCAAATCTGTTTTCCCAGCTTGTTGGCCACTCTTTACACACATCCATCTCTATGTATGTTATCTTGGCATCATCATTCTTCTGCTTGGCATACTCAATACAAGGAGCTAGGATGTCACATGCCATGATGTGTTGTATTTGTTCACTTTTAGAAAGCAACATCTTTGTAACATCACCATTGTTACAACCAATATCGAGTATGACATTATCCTGATAACTCCAATGCAATTCTGAAAATTTGTTCTACATGGAATCATTTTACAGCTTGTGGTAAGATATATTGCCATTTTCTGTACTTTTTGGCTGTTAATAGAGGCAACATTGTGACCTTTATGTCATTGATTAAATGTTTGCATTTACACTTCAAATTCTTATTACCATTTTAAACATAAGTTTACAAACTTGTGTACTTATGTCATTACATAGGTTTAATAGCAACAACAATATGATTGTTTTTTTAATTAATCAAATTTTCAATTCTTTTTTCTCTATGAAAACTAGTAAAAAACACATTATAAACGATCTGAATTTTCTCTTAATTCTACACAGCTTAATACCTGAATACCACCAAGTATCTAATTGCTTGTATGCAACACATCTGAATATAAAGGTATTTGTTTTAGGTTTCAAATGTTTTCATTTCACCTGTTCTATCTAATAAATCATGTAAAAATGAGTTGAGTAATCCTTTACCTTTGAGAAGTGTATTAGCGTTTGTCTTCTGAATTTGTGTTACAACTGCTGCATACAGTTCTGGATTAGGGGTAATTCTCCAACCATCTTCTCTGGTAGCGTAATTCACCTGAACTTTAGGCAGATCCATTGATTTGAATGTGTTTTATACATGTACTTTCAAAGTTCACAAATATTTTTCCTTTTGTGATGTGTTGAAATTGATATGAAAAGTGCTACATGTATATTGGTTGGATATAAGGTTGAATAAAGTTCCATATAAGTGAGACCAGCAGCAGCAATTTTTTCTATTCACAAAATAAAACTGCAGCTTAGAGCAGAATCGAACATCTGTCTGCTGTGTAATATACATGTAGGTATTAAATCACGGTTGTTTATTTTCTGAATTGGATTGATCTTAATGTTGAATAAGATATTGCCTACTTGACACCCCTATGAAAAAATACCCCTAAAGTTCTTGTTATTTACAATATTGAACCCGTCTGTTCAGATTTGGCTTATTACTTGAATGGTGACAGGTCATCTCAACCCCAAGTTAATTCAACTTCAATTCAATTCAGCTTTATTTTTTTCTTATATATAGTATTATTTACAAGGTTTTACATGACACCCTTGTGGGTGTATACAGTATAAAGAATATGTTGTTTGTATTGTAGGTATATGATAATCAGCTGTTCCAATGATGAACACTAACTAAGACTTACTATAACTAGTACACATTCAAAAGAGGGCATAACAATAAAAAGTGTTGCTTGATACAATCAAAAACATCTAGCTAAAACTGACTTCCAACATGGCAACATGTTCACAGTTGAGTCAATACAATGATTCATTAAAAATATCAAAATTAAATATTGAATACAAAAAAACAATCAAAGGTGTTCTAGTAATGCATACAAACAAAATATTACTCATCTGTATATTTGGCAATTATATACTTTTTAAAATCATTCCCTTAGTAAGACTAAACCTTTTTCACAGAGCTGGTTCCCATTTCCACTTTTCTCCATTTGTTATTATTATTGAGTGGTAATACCATTCATTTAGTCAGGAATGGCTCTTTATATTTTTTTGGGTTGGGTCATATATTTATTGACACCATTTGATGTTATTACAATGACATTGACTACCAACTACAATATACAAGATTGAACTAAGACTAGACTAAACTAATTCTTGATTACAAAAATACAAAATAGTTGTAAAATGCATTTTATTTTTCGCTTCTGTGATTTTCAGTTTTAAGAATCATTTTTTTGTGAGCTTCACCACTGTGTTACCTAATGTACCTGTGTATGCAAAAATAAGACTTGAATTCAAAATATACAGACTTCCTATGATACATTTGGTTTTACACAGTGTATTATGATTAATTCCTGACAAAGAGGGTGTTTATCATTTGATTCATCTTGCATAAGATGTGCCCATTCATTGCCTTTATCAGAGAGGAACTGAAATTTCTTCATTTCAATTTCCTTGATGATAGAAACCATATCAGTTAAGTAGTCACCTTGTAGAGCAGTTGGAATCTGATGATGAAACTTGAAAAATAGGTCAAAAGTTCCTTTTATGAATGTGCAATCAATTTTCAGAAAACTCCAAGATTGTACAGATTTACATAATTTTACTTGAAATCCTATTTTTTCTAGCATTTTTGGAAATACCTGTTCATCACACCAGACCATTTTTTCAATATTTTTCTGGGTAATTGCAAGTGTTTTTGACAATTTGTTTTCTGTAAAGTATTTTTTCCATTTTTCTGATTCCATCAATGTTAGAGTTGCAGCTTGTATACCATCAATGCGTAGAAAGTATGATGCACCAAATTCACCCCCTGGCTTAAGACTGTTGAAAACCTTCTTTAATACATTCTCCTGATTGTCAACTATCATGTTCAAACATTCATTGGAGAAAACCTGAAATGAAATATCTATCGTTAAGGGAAAATAACAAAATTATACATGTATTTACAAGTTCATTATGTGTGCACTGTGTTATCAATATGTTCTTCAACATATTGATACTCTCTTTACTTTACATACATCCATCTCTATGTATGTTATCTTGGCATCAGCATTCTTCTGCTTGGCATATTCAATACAAGGAGCTAGGATGTCACATGCAGTTATGTGTTGTATTTGATCACTTTTAGAAAGCAACATCTTTGTAACATCACCATTGTTACAACCAATATCGAGTATGACATTATCCTGATAACTCCAATGCAATTCTGAAAATTTGTTCTACATGGAATCATTTTTCAGCTTGTGGTAAGATATATTGCCATTTTCTGTACTTTTTGGCTGTTGATAGAGGCAACATTGTGACCTTTATGTCATTGATTAAATGTTTGCGTTTACACTTCAAATTCTTATTACCATTTTAAACATAAGTTTACAAACTTGTGTACTTATGTCATTACATAGGTTTAATAGCAACAACAATATGATTGTTTTTTTAATTAATCAAATTTTCAATTCTTTTTTCTCTATGAAAACTAGTAAAAAACACATTATAAACTATATGAATTTTCTCTTAATTCTACACAGCTTAATACCTGAATACCACCAAGTATCTAATTGCTTGTATGCAACACATCTGAATATAAAGGTATTTGTTTTAGGTTTCAAATGTTTTCATTTCACCTGTTCTATCTAATAAATCATGTGAAAATGAGTTGAGTAATCCTTTACCTTTGAGAAGTGTATTAGCGTTTGTTTTCTGAATTTGTGTTACAACTGCTGCATACAGTTCTGGATTAGGGGTAATTCTCCAACCATCTTCTCTGGTAGCGTAATTCACCTGAACTTTAGGCAGATCTATTGATTATCTCACCGAACGAAGTTCGAGGGGGATATAGAGAAGCCGTCCGTCCGTTCGTCCGCCTGTCCGTCCGTTCGTGTGTCCGGGCAATAACTCAAATTCCGGTTGATGGATTTCATTCAAATTTTATAGGCTTATGCCTTATGGGTGTAGGACCTCTGCTTGAGAAGGAATTTTCAATATGGCCGCTTAATTCAAAATGGCAGCCATTTTTGGGAAAAAATATAATCTTTAATAACTCAAATACTAGTGGATGGATTTGGTTCAAATTTTATATGCTGTTGCCTTGGTACAAAGGAGCCTTGCTCAAGAAGACATTTTCAAGATGGCCACCAAATTTCAAAATGGTGGCCATTTTTCGTAAAAAAAACGTTATCTTTGATAACACAAAGACCATTTAATGGATTTGGTTTAAGTTTTAGATGCTGATGCCTAGGGACATAGGAGCTCTGCTCAAGAAAGGATTTTCAAGATGGCAGCTAAATTTCAAAATGGCCGCCATTTTTCATAAAAAAACATTATCTTTGATAACTCAATTACCATTGAATGGATTTGGTTCAAATTTTACATTATGATGCCTTGGGACATAGGAGCTCTGCTCGAGAAGGGATTTTCAAGGTGGTAGCTAAATTTCAAAATGGCTGCCATTTTTCATAAAAGAACGTAACCTTTGATAACTCAAATACCAGTTGACGGATTTGGTTCAAATTCTATATGCTGATGCCTAGAGACATAGAAGTTCTGCTCAAAAATAAATTTTCAAGATTGCCACTAAATTTCAAAATGGCCGCCATTTTTCGTAAAAAAACGTAATTAATGATAACTCAAATACTAGTGGATGGATTTGGTTCCAATTTTATATGCTGATGTTTAGGGAAAAAGGAGATCTGCTTCAGAAGAAATTTCAAAGGCGATAGCTGAATTTCAAAATAGCTGCCATTTTTCATTAAAAAAGTAATCTTTGATAACCCAGATACCATTGCACAGACATTCTCTGCTAAAGAAGAAATCTAAAGATGACAGCTGAATTTCAAAATGGCAACCATGTTTCATAAAGACATAATCTTTGATAATTCAAATACCAGTGGATGAATTTGGCTCAATTTTTTTTATCAAAACATGTTTTGTTCGGTGGGATTTGCTACTCAGTGGAGTTGCTGTTTTTCTAGTTTGAATGTGTTTTATACATGTACTTTCAAAGTTCACATTTATTTTTCCTTTTGTGATGTGTTGAAATTGATATGAAAAGTGCTACATGTATATTGGTTGGATATAAGGTTGAATAAAATTCCATATAAGTGAGACCAGCAGCATCGATTTTTTCTATTCACAAAATAAAACTGCAGCTTAGAGCAGAATCGAACATCTGTCTGCTGTGTAATATACATGTAGGTATTAAATCACGGTTGTTTATTTTCTGAATTGGATTGATCTTAATGTTGAATAAGATTTGCCTACTTGACACCCCTATGAAAAAATACCCCTAAAGTTCTTGTTATTTACAATGTTGAGCATGTCTGTTCAGATTTGGCTTATTACTTGAATGGTGACAGGTCATCTCAACCCCAAGTTAATTCAACTTCAATTCAATTCAGCTTTATTTTTTTCTTATATATAGTATTATTTACAAGGTTTTACATGACACCCTTGTGGGTGTATACAGTATAAAGAATATGTTGTTTGTATTGTAGGTATATGATAATCAGCTGTTCCAATGATGAACACTAACTAAGACTAACTATAACTAGTACACATTCAAAAGAGGGCATAACAATAAAAAGTGTTGCTTGATACAATCAAAAACATCTAGCTAAAACCGACTTCCAACATGGCAACATGTTCACAGTTTAGTCAATACAATGATTCATTAAAAATATCAAAATTAAATATTGAATACAAAAAACAATCAAAGGTGTTCTAGTAATGCATACAAACAAAATATTACTCATCTGTATATTTGGCAATTATATACTTTTTAAAATCATTCCCTTAGTAAGACTAAACCTTTTTCACAGAGCTGGTTCCCATTTCCACTTTTCTCCATTTGTTATTATTATTGAGTGGTAATACCATTCATTTAGTCACGAATGGCTCTTTATATTTTTTTGGGTTGGGTCATATATTTATTGACACCATTTGATGTTATTACAATGACATTGACTACCAACTACAATATACAAGATTGAACTAAGACTAGACTAAACTAATTCTTGATTACAAAAATACAAAATAGTTGTAAAATGCATTTTATTTTTCGCTTCTGTGATTTTCAGTTTAAGAATCATTTTCTTGTGAGCTTCACCACTGTGTTACCTAATGTACCTGTGTATGCAAAATATAAGACTTGAATTCAAAATATACAGACTTCCTATGATACATTTGGTTTTACACAGTGTATTATGATTAATTCCTGACAAAGAGGGTGTTTATCATTTGATTCATCTTGCATAAGATGTGCCCATTCATTGCCTTTATCAGAGAGGAACTGAAATTTCATCATTTCAATTTCCTTGATGATAGAAACCATATCAGTTAAGTAGTCACCTTGTAGAGCAGTTGGAATCTGATGATAAAACTTGAAAAATAGGTCAAAAGTTCCTTTTATGAATGTGCAATCAATTTTCAGAAAACTCCAAGATTGTACAGATTTACATAATTTTACTTGAAATCCTATTTTTTCTAGCATTTTTGGAAATACCTGTTCATCACACCAGACCATTTTTTCAATATTTTTCTGGGTAATTGCAAGTGTTTTTGACAATTTGTTTTCTGTAAAGTATTTTTTCCATTTTTCTGATTCCATCAATGTTAGAGTTGCAGCTTGTATACCATCAATGCGTAGAAAGTATGATGCACCAAGTTCACCCCCTGGCTTAAGACTGTTGAAAACCTTCTTTAATACATTCTCCTGGTTGTCAACTATCATGTTCAAACATTCATTGGAGAAAACCTGAAATGAAATATCTATCATTAAGGGAAAATAAAAAAATTATAAATGTATTTACAAGTTCATTATGTGTGCACTGTGTTGTCAATATGTTCTTCAACACTTTTAATGATTGATCAAAAAGCTACAAATAAGGATCATTGCAAAATATACTATGTTTGAGCCATTACCTAGCTAAATATTGTTGGGGAATTTCGTGAAGAATGTTGATTTCATATTTGATCTGATCAAATGGATGATCATTTTTTCCTTATACCAAAATTGACTACCTTGTCAAATCTGTTTTCCCAGCTTGTTGGCCACTCTTTACACACATCCATCTCTATGTATGTTATATTGGCATCAGCATTCTTCTGCTTGGCATACTCAATACAAGGAGCTAGGATGTCACATGCCATGATGTGGTGTATTTGATCACTTTTAGAAAGCAACATCTTTGTAACATCACCATTGTTACAACCAATATCGAGTATAATGTCATCCAGATAACTCCAACACAATTCTGAAATTTGTTGAACCTATGCACACTAAGGAGGAACTTGCCAAGGCAATTCATTCATTGCTTATAAAGACTAATAAAACAAACAATAGCAATGCCGAGAATCGGGATTGTGCACAAATCCCCCCCCCCCCCCAATTTGAAAAATAACTGAACCCCTCCCACCTGACAAACACTGGCTTATGTTTATAACAAATAATATGGCATGGAATGATGATAAAAACATAGTTATTACCTTTGAGTAGTGTATTGGCATTTCTTCGCTGAAACTGGGTTGCCACTTCTGCATATAGTTCTGGATTAGGATTAAATTGCCAGTCCCCCTCCCTGGTAGCGTAGTCCACTTGAACTTTAGGCAGATCCATTTATTTGAATGTGTTCCTTACTTTAGAAATCCATATGTATATTATATTTTCTGATTTGTTTAACTCTTTTGTTACGTCTAACCACTTCATTGAAAAAATAAAGAAGAATGGAAATATAAAATGTAAATGAAGGTATAAACAAGAAATGACATCTCATTTGCATATTTTTGTACATACAGGGTGTCCGGAAAGTAAAGATACAAATGCTCTAATTTCAATAGATTTACCTGTTGTGAAATGAAATTGCTAGATTGTAGAATGACATTATGATAATATATCCTGCAACTGTCATGACAAATTGTTTTAAAATAAAAAAGTTATGGTTGTTATGGTAACAAGAATCGCGGGTACGTGGAGCAGTGTCACAATTATGTTCTATAATTCTTTTCTCCTGCTCATATCATCTTGACACTCCATCGTCTGTTGCTATTATACATCAGATTATGTACCACAACAGCAAAGGATTAGTACTGTAACATTATTTATTCATTTGACACTACTACTGTTATCCAGTATTATGCATTCCCCACCATTATCTTAATATTCTTTGTGCATTTTGACCGGATATTTAAAGACTTGACAAAACCACTGCTGTCCATCTCTAAGATTGCTGATAACATTGGCTTCCATCCGAGTCTCATTTTTATGTTGAACTTCTAACAAATATTGCTTTAAACTATTCATTAATGTATAGTCCAACGAGATATTATCAAGGTAATATGGGCCATTGTGCAAAAAGGTTTAATGTCAAGACATACAATTGTAAGATTTATTTTCTTTTGCTTTGTGAATTGGTGCATTGACTGAGGAGGTGGACTGTTGACTTTCCTATTAATCCAGGGACCCCTTTTCTAAGCACTCATATACCTTTTCTATGATTATACTGGTGACATTACATAGTTATGATATGTATCAATGATATCATTATACTAAAGAGAATACTATGGCAGCAAGAATACAATATTGAACAAAACAAAACATTGATAAAAAATAGAATAACTAGATGTATAAGATTGCAAGCAATCGTATAAAGATTGCAAGCAATCTTACGGAGGCCCCGTAGGCTTTTTTGAACATTTAAAGGTCAGCCAAAGGTCAAATCTTAAAAACAAGGACATATATGAACTCCAGGCATCTTGTAGATGATTTTTAAAAAAAAGTTTGGTCAATTTGAAGCAATGTGAAATTTGACCTTGAAAAATTTCAACATTAGACCTTTTTCAGTTTTTGAGGTCCAATATCTCAAAACTGGTGCAGAATTTTAATAGATAATCAATTGTTATTATGTGTAAAACCTTTAGAGGAATATATATCCTGACTTTAATTCAAAAATATTGATTTGTAGTCACAAACTTTGAGAAACTTAGAAAACACAGTTTGTGATCTTGTTTGATGACCTTGACCTTTGACCTTACAGGTTTTACTTTTTTCGACCTCAGTATATCTTTTCTGATTGAAGAAACCTAAATTTGAATCAATAAAATCAATTTGAAAAATTAACTTTTTTGACCTTTCGAAGGTCACTGAAGGTCAACTAAAGGTCATAGTTCAAAACTAAGGTCAGATTTGAGTTCCTGAGATCTTGTAGATGCTTTTAAAAAAAAATTGGTCAATTTAGAGCAAGTTGAAATTTGACCTTGAAAAATTTCGAAATTTGACCTTTTTTCAGTTTTTCAGTTCTAATATCTCAAAACTGGAGCAAAATTTTAATAAATAGTCAAGTGCTAATATGTGTAGAACCTTTAGAGGAATATATATTCTGACTTTCAGTAAAAAAAATGATTTGTAGTCTCCAATTTTGAGAAACTTAGAAAACACAGTTTGTGATTTCGTTTGATGACCTTGACCTTTGACCTTGCAAATTTTACTTTTTTTAGACCTCAGTGGGTCTTTTGTGAATAAATATACCTAAATTTGAATCCAGAAAATCGAGTTGAAAAATCAACTTTTTTGACCTTTCGGAGGTCACTGAAGGTCAACCAAAGGTCAAAGGTCAAAAGTAAGGTCAGATTTCGAATGCTGAGAACTTGTAGATGAGTTTTAAAAAAACATTTGGTCAATTTGAAGCAAGTTGAAATTTAGTCTTGAAAAGTTTCGAAATGTGACCTTTTTTCAGTTTTTGAGTTCTAATATCTCAAAACTGGTACACAATTTTAATAAATAGTCAATTACTAATACATGTAGAACCTATAGAGGAATATATATCCTGACTTTCATGAAAAAATATTGATTTGTAGTCACCAAAACTTAGAAACTTAGAAAACACAGTTTGTGATTTAGTTTGATGACCTTGACCTTTGACCTTGCAAATTTTACTTTTTTAGACCTCAGTGGGTCTTTTGTAATCAAATGTACCTAAATTTGAATCCAGAAAATCAATTTGAAAAATCAACTTTTTTTACCTTTCGAAGGTCACTGAAGGTCAACCAAAGGTCAAAGGTCAAAACTAAGGTCAGATTTGAGTTCCTGAGAACTTCTAGATGATTTTTAAAAAAAAAATTGGTCAATTTGAAGCAAGTTAAAAAAACGACCAATTTTTACCATTTTTTGACGTCAATTATCTCAAAAACGGTAAAAAATTAACGCAAACATATAGTGAGTAATTTGTAGGGAATGCTTATATCTAGTTACATTTTAATTCATCGCAAGAAATAATGAAGTATGAGGACGAAATCTGAGAAACTTAGAAAAAACTTTGATTTGACCTAGATTTTGACCTTTGACCTTGACCTAGATAAAAATTCCTTTCCCGGTAAGTTCAACCTAGGTCCCTAGTAGGTACATATAGTAGATAGTTGAAATCTAGTTAGAAGTAGGAGAAAAAGTGCAGAGAAGAATAAATAATAATAACTAGACTTTGGAAATTGAACGAAGTTCAATTTCAGACTCCAGATCTAGACTTTTTTTAAGCCCAGTCATCTAAAATAAGCCGAGTCATCGAGAATAAGCTGAGTCATCCAGAATAAGATGGATGGATAAAATTGGAAGGTAGGATAGGATAGAATGGGAAGGAACGATAGGATAGAATAAGAAAGAAGGATAGGATAGAACAGAATAGGAAGAAAGGATATGATAGGAGAGGATAGGAAGGATAGGAAAGAAAGGATACGAAGGAAGGATAGATAGGAAGGATAGGATAGGATCAGATAGGAAGGATGGGTGAATTTTTCAATATTTTCTTCTCTACTCTTGACTTTCTATCAGGGTACCATCAGATCGATTTTCCGAAATTTCAAAACGCCATAACTTCCGAACCGGAAGTCGGATCTAAATTTGATTTAAAGATTCGGATTCCTGACAAAATTCTACCACTAATTCATAACTCATACGTTAAATTTGGCGAATTTTTATTTTGACCTACTTTTGGACACGCCATAACTTTGGAACCAGAAGTCGGATCGAAATTTGGTTTGCAGATTTGGATTCCTGACAAAATTCTACTCTTAATTCATAACTCATACGTTAAATTTGGAAACTTTTTATTTTGACCTACTTTTCGGACACGCCATAACTTCCGAACCGGGAGTCGGATCGATATTTAGTTTGCAGATTCGGATTCCTGACAAAATTCTACCCCTAATTCATAACTCATACGTTAAATTTGGAGAACTTTTTATTTTGACCTACTTTTCGGACACCATATCTCAAAAGTGGGTCAAAATACTTTCTGACGGCAAAAGGCTAACACTAGTAGCACACTCTTGGCTACATGTATACACAATTTCGAAGAATATAATTGAAGTGTAGTGTCAGAATCGCAAAAATAAGGAAAACCTTTGAATTTGACCTAGATTTTGACCTAGGAATTTTGGTGTCCAAATTCTGAAGCTAGATGGCTTTTGAGGTCCCCTTCTTTTGAAGGCTTTCATTAAATTAAGCTGAACTCAGTCTATATTTCGTATTTTTCACTTCAAAAAAATCTTATTTCCCATTGACTTAACATGGGCACAAAATTTAGCGATTTTTGAGTTTTCAAAACGCCCTAACTTCCGAACCAGAAGTCGGATCGAAATTTGGTTTGAAGATTTGGATTCCTGACAAAATTCTACCCCTTATTCATAACTCATACATTGAATTTGGAGCACGTTTTGGTGTGACCTACTTTCTGGACGCCATATCTCAAAATCGGTTTGAGATATCTAAAAAATAAATCGACCCTAGCTTTCCTACTTTTTTATGAGGAACACAATGAAAAAAACCTGGATCGAAAATATTGAAGGACGACTGAGAAAATTGAAAAAAGTGACAAAGTACTGGATTTGACCTAGTTCTTGACCTTTGACCTAGATAAAAATTTGACCCAATTTCCGAGAAACTAGATATTGGACCTAAATTGACCATATACAGGACTTGACTCAATGTCTTCTAGTTATTGAGAAAACGCGTAGAGAAAAATAATAATAATAATAATAATAATAAAGAAGAATACTGACGAAAACAATAGACTCCAGATTTTCAATCTGGAGTCTAATAAAGAATAATAAATAATATCTATAAAATCTATAGGAGGCTCCCCGTTGGGGCCTCCTAATAAACACTGTTTCAAATGGTTATATATTTGCAATTCATCACAATTTGGCGATATCCTGGAACTGCTCCGCAAACCCCTTACCACCGTAACTATGACAACCGTAACTTTAATGCATTTAGACCACATGTTATAAAAGTCGGTAGATGTATTGTAATATAGTTCCTCTACAATCTGTAGCAATTTCATTACAAAAAACCTTAAATTATTGAAATTAGAGTATTTGTATCTTTACTTTCCGGACACCCTGTATGTACTACATTCCCTTTCATTTTATATTTTTGTTTTATTTTATTTTTCTAAATAGTTGTCAGGTCACTGGTGATCCACTCGATTACGCTCGTTACCGAAACGGTTCGTTTTGGTAACAAAATGTCGGAACATCGAAGGTACGATTTTTCTTTTTTTCTTATTTCACACGTTGTAGGCAGAATTCCCACGACATTTTTTCACACAAACTTGTATCAGTATCATATGTTTAAGAAAATGTACATATTTGCGAACAAATAGTTCAGAAGACAACAGAATCGTCAGTTTAATTCCTCACTTAAGTTACAT